CTAAATCCCCCATACTTTCATCTGGTGCCCTCGTCCCTATTCTCCTGTTCTCCTCCCCCTCTTTTCCCCCCTCGCTCACCCGTAAGCGTGGCCAGTCACGCATGTCCTGAGCCAGCTTGCGCAGCACCATGCGGTCTGCTGGTACCCGGTCCTCACACACCTGCAAAGGGTTTGAGAGGGGGGTGGTTTGCAGGGGGGAGGGAGAGGGGAGAGGAGGGGGGAGACGTCTCAAAACCAGCAGCACCATGCGGTCTGCTGGTACCCGGTCCTCACACACCTGCAAAGGGAGGAGGGTGCGGGTGGTGGGGTGGAGGGAGAAAGGGAGGGAGAAAGGGAGGGAGGGGAAGGAGTCTCGACACCAGCTTGCGCAGCACCATGCGATCTGCTGGTACGCGGTCCTCACACACACACACCTGCAGCACACGGAGGGGATGAGAGCCACAGAGTGGAAAGGGCGGGGATGGGGAACAAACACGGACAGGAAAAGAGGGGGAGGAACGTCGCAAATAAGATTGCGCAGCAGCGTGCGATCGGCAGCACATGGTCCTCACACACTCACCTGGAAGGGTGGAGGGAGGGGGAAGGGGAGGGGGGAGGGGAGAGGAGGTGGGGAGGCGTCTCACAGCCAGCTTGCGCAGCACTGCACCATGCGGTCCGCTGGTACCCGGTCCTCACACACCTGGGACACACGGAGGGGAGAGGGGGGAGGGGAGGAAGAGGGGGGAGGGAGGGGAGAGGGGGGAGGAGAGGGGGGAGGAGGAAGGGAGGGGAGAGGGGGGAGGAGAGGGGGGAAGAGAGATGTCTTAAAACCAGCTTGCGCAGCACCGTGCGGTCCTCATATATCTGTCGGGGGTGCGAAGAGGGTGGAAAGCGCACAGGGGGGAGGGAAGGAGAGTGGGGGAGGGAGGGGTGGGTGTTGTAGGTGGGTGTGCGTGGAGGGGAAAGGTGGGGATGTTTTCAACAAGCTTGTGCAGCACCAAGCGGGCCGCAGGTACATGGTTCTCACACACCTGCAGGGGAGGGGACAGGGGCAGAAAGGGGATGCGTCTCGAAACAAGTACCATGCGGCCCCGAGGTGCACTTTTGAGTCGACTCAAAAGTCAGAACCGTCTCAAAACAGCAGTATGCGGCCGCAGGTACACTTGCAGCACCCCGAGAGGGGAGTGGGCACGGAGGGGAGAGGGCGGGGATGGGCATGGAGGGAGGGCGGGGATGTTTCAAACGCCTGCGCTTGCGCAGTGAGAGGGAGGGGTGGAGCAGTGAGAGGGGTGGAGCAGTGAGAGGGGTGGAGCAGTGAGAGGGGTGGAGCAGTGAGAGGGGTGGAGCAGTGAGAGGGGTGGAGCAGTGAGAGGGGTGGAGCAGTGAGAGGGGTGGAGCAGTGAGAGGGGTGGGGACTGACGAGCAGATTACAGAAGTTGAGCATTCTCCCCACACTATCGCCAACCACACCCCGCACCCCTTCCCCACCCCTCCGGCCCTCCTCACCTTCCCTCTCGCCCGCATCCCGGCCCCCCTCGTCAACCAAGCCCACCTCTCCCCTCCCCCGTCCCACCCCCCACCTCTCCCCTCCCCCGTCCCGCCCCCCACCTCTCCCCTCCCCCGCCCAGCCCCCCACCTCTCCCCTCCCCCGCCCAGCCCCCCACCTCTCCCCTCCCCCGCCCAGCCCCCCACCTCTCCCCTCCCCCGTGCGCACATCTCCCCTCCCCCGCCCCCACCTCCCCCATCTCCCCTGCGCGCACCTCAAGGAAGGCATTGGCGATCTCGTCGCGGGACCACCCGCTTTCGTTCTCGATGCCCTTCCCCACCCCGCTCCCCGCCTCTTTCCCCCCTCTTCCGCCCTCTCCCTTCCCCCGCTCCTCTCGTCCCTCCCCCAGCGCGCACCTCAAGGAAGGCGTCGGCAATCTCGTCGCGCGAGCACCCGCTTTCGTTCTCGATGCCCATCTGCCGCCGCCGCTCCGCCTCGCGCGGGTCCTCGATCATCAGCACCAGCCGGATCTGCGGAGATTGGCGGGCGGTAGGCGCGCGGAAATTGGCGCGCGGCAGGGGGCGAGGGAAGAGGGGGGGGAAATGAGGACAGCAGGGAGGTGGGCGACGCGTGCGAACGGCTGACATTGACGGACAATGACGGGCACTGACGGAATGACGGGCACTGACGGATCGACGGACACTGACGAACAATGGCGGGCTCTGACGGACAATGGTGGGCACTGACGGACAATGACGAACAAAACATAGACAAAGGAGGCGACATAGAGCATGTAGTGAGAGCACGCGCGCACCTCTTGCGACGCAGGGTACGAGATTCATGCTCGAGAGCTTAAGATTCTTCTGGACGGCTGCTGCAGCTTTTCGTTTCTTCACGGGTGACCTCACAAGGCTAGTAAACGCACCTCCCGTACCGTCATGTCGCGACGCAGGGTACGAACTACGGACTAGGGTACGCCTAGTGAACACGGGAAACGCACTATCATGTCTGAAAACGCACCTCCTGCACGGTCATGTCGCGACGCTCCTTGAGCAACTCGATGGTCTGCCACGCACGCACACGCACATGGATACGAATTAGGCTCGAGGCACGCGGCATCCAGCACGCACACGCACACACACACCTAAACGGATGCGAATCAGAATGGCAACGACGGTACGGAGTGGGCAGCTACGCCAGTTGGCAATTGTCGTGAATGTCGCATTTTGCGAACGTTGCGAACGTCGCGAATGTCGTGAGCGCTCTATGCGAGCGCAAATCACCTCGAGGATATCCTGAATGTCGCTCAGGTCCTGCGCCTCCTCCGCCGACAGCTGGGCCTCCCCATCCTTCCCCTCCGCCGCCGCCGCCGCTGCCCGCACGGACCGCCTAGACGCGGGACCCGGGTGTCGCGATGAAACGCTTTGCTGCGATTGGCGTCGGCATCGGACGGCTAGCGATCGCCCGGAAGAGAAAGAGACGACACAGGACGAGCGGGATGCGGCACGACGGTGAGCGAACGACGGCGACGCGTGTGGGGCGTGCCGCACGGCAATGGACGTCGCCATTGCGGACAGAATGATCTAACAGACGAAAAAAAAACACTCTCTGATCACTTGAAATGACAAGGAAATCCAAGAAGCCCGAGAGATTTTCTCCAGACCCGGAAACGGTGATTTGCCGTTGCACACGTAGGCTCAATTTGCTAGCGTGGTCGGACAATTTGATGATAATTGCTCGAGTGGTCTTGCCAGAGGTTTCCTCTGGCTTTTTTTTTATCCGGCACATTACCCAAAACCGGTTTTTAGCCCTGCTTTTCTTACGTCGTTCGTGTCTCTTCCCGCAAAAACGTGGCGTGTGTTTTTCCGCCCGATTTTTTCGGCTGGGTGACGTGCGCGAGGGCGGCCACGTCATCGCTCTATTACACGACAATAATCAACACGATCATGTTGGGCGAACAATCGCGCTCATTTTCGGTCCAATTCTTGACCAATCCGCGCATAGAGATATGAATCCCCGATCATATACTCAGTTGCACGACTGTCCACACGCGCGACCAATTACAGAGCGCGTGTGATTGGTCGACTTTATGCGCAAAGTACTTTTTTACCTTGCGCGTCCAATCAGGCGCGGTCATGTAAGATCGCGCTCATATAAAACCGCGCATTTACCTATATGAGCGCGCATATGTGGTGCTCGAATGTATGTGCGATCTGTTTTATTAATAAACAACTATATTAATAGAATCGAGAGACGTTCACTACCGGTGTTTTGCCATTGTATCTTTATAACACTGTGCGGTCCGTTCATTTAGCAATCATAGGGTTTATTGTATCTGTAGACATGTCGACCTCTAGGCATGCCTACAATGATATTACGTAGATTTGATGTGTACTGAGCACGCAATACCATTGTTGACCATACGTCTCATCAGTTATTGTGCAGAAAGGCATCGATTATGTCGTCCGCCGCCCCTGCACAGGTTTAGCAAACAAGTTCATTAGATGAATGCAGGGTTTAATGAAACTACAGCATATGAATAAGCACTAATATATTGGTGTGTGTACCTTTTGTACCACTGGTGAGTTTAAACATATATTCCATTTCCAGTAGCGCGATCTCATATGGGCGTGACCCTATATGAGCGCGCCTGATTGGACGCGCAAGATCAGAAAAGGGCCCGCGCATAGAGTCGACCAATCACACGCGCTCTGTAATTGGTCGCGCGTGTGGACACTCGTGCAATTGAGTATATGATCGGAGATTCATATCTCTATGCGCGGATTGGTCAATAATTGGACCGAAAATGAGCGCGACTGTTCGCCGAACATGATCGTGTTGATTATTGTCGTGTATACGAACAGTGACGTGGCCGCCCTCGCGCACGTCACCCAGCCGAAAAAATCGGGCGGAAAAACACACGCCACGTTTTTGCGGGAAGAGACACGAACGACGTAAGAAAAGCAGGGCTAAAAACCGGTTTTGGGTAATGTGCCGGATAAAAAAAAAGCCAGAGGAAACCTCTGGCAAGACCACTCGAGCAATTATCATCAAATTGTCCGACCACGCTAGCAAATTGAGCCTACGTGTGCAACGGCAAATCACCGTTTCCGGGTCTGGAGAAAATCTCTCAAGAAGCCCCAACATCCACACGCGGGGCAATCAGAAAGGGAATCGCGCATGGATAAGGTACGCGTCTAAAGCTTCTCCTCTTGGCTGCACAATCAACTGTTGAGCTTGACAAAACATAACTCTCGCCACGGTGTGACAACTTTCGTTTTCTCGGTGTTACCAGATTTGCACTAACTGCGATGTTGCCAACAATGTGGGGAAACAATGGTTGGGGAAAAGGAGGGGTGTGATTGGTTGGAAAAGGTGGCTTGGGGATGGTCTGTTTGGGGAGGCTGGGTTTTTTGTTGAATGTTATTACACTACAAGAAGTGCATACATTCTCAGTCGTAACTGACTTCTGGAGAGGCCCTACCTTGGATATAGAAACACTGCTCTACACCTGGGCTCCCCCTCCACGTGGCATCTACGGAGGCTGCCTGATCGTTCTGGGGTTGCGCCAAATGGAGAGAAACCCGTCGCTCCACGTGGCCTTTCCCCCTAGTTCGCTGAGCAACGTCACCGCCGCTCTCTCATCTCCCTTTAGGTCACGCCATGGGTCTATCCCTTGCTGTGCTGTACCCTTCCTACGCGCCTTCCTCGTCAGCTCCGTACGGTACACCTGGGCATGCTGCACAAACTCCCTGATGGCCCCTCTTGCCACCTTCTTCCTCTGAAAGGTTTCCCCCCGCCAGACCACGTTGCTCGCCAGCCAGATGTGGCGGAAAGTAGTCGCCACTAGCGTTGCGGAAGTGAAACCGGATCGCGTCTGCCCCTCCTCGAAAAGCAGGGCTCCTAGTGAGTCCGGGTTGCTGGAGGGGTCCAGCATCCGTAGCGACCGCAACAGCGCGCCGATCACCGGCTGGACGAGGGGGCAGCTGAACATGCAATGCTCCAGCGTTTCCGGCTCCCCGCAATGTGAACACCTTGCCCTCTCGCCCAGGAACTTCAGTCTGCCACCCACTTGTAGGTTTAGGCAGTGCATCATCAGCAGTACATCCCTTGCCCTGTTGGGGATCACCATCGAATCCCTCCTGCTCTCCACCTTCCTCCAGTCTATCTTCCTCCCCCATCTTTCCTCCCATTCGCTCCTTTTCCTTGAGGCCGTGGTTGGCCCTGCTAGCACCCGCCGTATCGCCTTAATCCTCGACAGCGCTCCATCGTCGTCGAACAGCTTAGACAGTTTCAGCCTTACCGCCGGGGCGCCCACCACTCCCAGCACTCTGCCGCCTCTGGTAGCTATTGGTTCCACATACTCCGGCCTGAACGACGCCTTGACTAGTTCGGCCCATTCCTCTATCTTAGCCTCCCTGGTCAGCTCCGCGCTTGACACCGTCACTTTCTCCTCTTTAGCCCCCGACACCTTCCAATAGAGATGCTCCTGCGTCCGTGGTAAGAACGTCCTCACCACGCCCGCCACTTCCACCAGTTTCTCCGCCGTCTTCCCCGCAATTGCCAATTTCTTCCATTCTTCCGATGTTGCCGCGTACGCCATCAGCGCCCATCTCGCCACTGCCACTCCTCCTAATTCCTCTCTCAGCGTCTCCTTGCTTTTCACCTTGCGCTCCGCCCCCGGTCCCCCTGATACCAGATCCCCAATCTTCTTCTTCCTTAAATCCTCTGTCCCCTGTTGATTCCCGTACGGGCTCTTTCCTCTGAACATGATCCTGCGATTGAAGCAGAGGCACTCCTGCTCCACCTCCCATCCGCATGATGGCTCCGGCAGCACCGCGTACGGGGAATCCCAGAACGCCTCCACCGCCGCTTTCCACCTTTGGTTGCCCCCAGGCCAGTGCTTCCCCGCCGACGGGTCCGCAAAAAACGTTGCTTCTCCTTGCGGCAACGCCGCCGCTTTCTCTGCTAACCATTTCTTCGTCGCGTTCTTCTCCGCTAGCATCTTCCCCACCATTTTGACCGCCATGTTGTCGATTCGTACCTTAGGGTCCACGAGCCCCAAACCCCTTTCCTTCTGCGGGAGCCAAGCCAGTTCCCCGCTCCACAGCACGAACGCTTTCTCTGCCGTGGCTTCCCCACTCGAAACGTAATTATCGCACGTCTTCTGAATCTTCTTCTACAGTTCCTCTGGCGGAGGGTACACCTGCGCCTGGAATATGAAGATAGGCATTATATATGCATTGATCACCGTCACTCTTGCCGTTGTGAGAAGATGGTGGCTCTCCCACTTAACCAGTTCCTCCTTCCCCCGCTCCCAAGCCTTCTCCCAGGACGGGCCTGCATCTCCGTCTAGCGTAATCTAGATGCCCAGCAGTCGCTCCGGCACACCCGCTTCCGCCCATTTGAAAGGTACTCCCTCCACCGACTGCCTCCCTTTGTTCCTTCCGATCGGCATGACCACCGACTTGTCGTTGTTTGTTCGCAGACCTGATATCCTGCCAAACTGCTCCAGCGCTTCTGCTGCCGACCTCAGCTGTTCCTCTCCTTTCAGTATGAGTGTTGTGTCGTCCGCATATCCTACATACGCTAACTCCGCCGTCCCTTCCTTCTCCTTCACGCCCAGCCCTTGCTTTTTAACCTCCAGGTATAACGGCTCCAACGCACAGAGAAAGAGATACGGCGCCAGCGGGCAACCTTGTCTCACTCCCTTCTTCATCTCCACCCTCTCTCTGACCCAGCCGTTGATCACCACTGACGTCCCTGAGCCGTGGTGCAGCCCCTCCGTCCATCTCACGAACTCATCCGGTATTCCCCGCTTCCTCATCGTCTCAAACAGGTACGGTCTCGCCACTGTATCATACGCTTTTTGGAAATCCACCATCAGGAGAAACCAGTCCTCTCCCCCGTTGTCCGCCGCCTCCACCGCATCCGCGACCACCGATACTGCTTCCGCCAGGCTCCTCCCCGAAACGAAGCCGTGTTGGTCCTCCGATATCACCAGGTGAAGTTCTTTTTTGAGTCTGTTCGCGAGCACCTTCGCCAGCACCTTGTAGATCGTGCTGAGGAGCGTGATGGGTCGGTAGTTCCCTAATTGGTCCGTCGGCCCCTTCTTGTGCAGCAGGACCGTGACCGCCGTGGATAAGGCCTCATCCAAGTGGCCCGTCCTCTCGAACCTTTTCGCAAATTCTATCAGCGGCCCACCCAACAGATCCCAGTGAGCCCTGAAAAGCTCCGGTGGCAACCCGTCCCTGCCCGGCGACTTGCCTCTCGGCAGCCCCGCGAGTGCCTCCTTCACCCCTCTCTCTGTCCACGGGGCACAGAGCCTCGCCGCCGCATCACCCGGTAAGCTAGTAGCCACTTCGACCGTCCCCCCCTCCTGTCTCTCCGTTCCCGTCTGCTCGCTGAACGATTCCCGGAAATGATCGGAAGCCGCCCTCAGCACCTCCTGTGAGCCGTAGAAACGCTCCCCCTTGTACTGCACCTCCTTGATCACTGTCTTATTTTTCCTTATCTTGACCTTGGCAGAGAGATATGGCGACGGGATTTCGCCGTGTAGCTCCAGATCCAAACCAGCCAGCGTCTGCAGCCGCTCCCTCTCGCTCTCTTGATAGCCTTCTAGCTGCGCCTCTCTCGCCAGCAACCTCTCCTTGACACCCGCTTCCGTGGGTCCCGCCATGACCATGTGGTTTAACCTTGCCACCTCTGCTTCCAAGTGCCTCCTGGTTGCCGTGACCCGTTTCCTCTCCTCCCGCTCATGTGCCCGCAGGGCCGCACTGAGCTGCGTAAGATTGCTCTCCAGGGTTCGGCCGCACAGCTCATCCGTGTTAGAATATATCTGTAACTGCCTGTAGCTGTAGTTAGTGTAGTTATTATAAACTGTTGGTGGTGCACCTTCTTTGCATGCTTTGTTTACTATTTGTACCTCGCTCAATAGTGAATTCTTCCTCTTTGGCTAAACTCTCTCGACATATGTTTCTCTCAACTCTCCTCCTACCCCAAACCCTAGTGTTCACTTAATCTACTATTCTAACATGGTATTAAGAGCTAGGTTGCCCTAAGGCCTGTTTGTTTTTTTTCCCCCATGGGCCCACCACGTATCCCCCCGCTCATGGCGCTTGTCACGCCCCCCGTCGCGGCCGTAGTTACGATGGTTGCAACGGTCGCGACCGTCAAAACGGTCTCGGCGGCGAGCTGCGTGACGGCGTCAGATGCGGCCTCGTTTCGTCTCCCCGTCGCGCCCGTTGCGCCCTGCTCGTCGCGCGCATCGCCTGCCACGTCCCGTTTTGTTACGAACACAACAGCAGCCGTGCGCAGCTGCATACGACCGCACATTGTTGCGCGCAGCTTCGTACGACCGTGCGCACCCACGCACGGTCATGTGCGCCAGCACCAGCGCCCGTCGCCAGCACGTGCGCGAGCGCCAGCGACGTCGCCAGCGCCAGCAACAGCTAACTCCGCCCCCCCCTTCCCTTCCGCAGCTTCCGCCGTGGGGGGGGGGGGGGGGAGGATGTGGGGGTGGCGGGTGTGAGTTGCCTGCAGCCTGTCCTTCCCCACCCTTCAGTGGGGTCCGCCGTGAGGGGGGGAAGAGGTTGCGGGGGGGAGGGTGAGGGGAATGGGGGAGATTGTGATGGAGTGGAGAGAGAGATTCTGCTGAGCCAGCAGCCGCCCCTCCTCCTCTCTCTCTCAATGCCGCGTGTGCTGCCGTGGGGGGGAGGGTGAGATGGTAGCGGAACTCAGCTAGGCATCTGCAGCTGCCGCCCGCTGCTACCGTGGCACCTCCTGCTGCCGCCCCTGCCTCCACCTGCTGTTTCTTCTGCTGTCTTCTGCTGTTGAGCGGCAGGTGCTGCCGTTGAGCCTTGCTGTGCCGCCGCACGGTGCCGCCGCACTCACCCGCTCTCCAGGCGACCTGCCGCCACATGCACCTTTGTCTGTTGCTTCTACCTTGGCTGAGGGGTTGGTGTAGCTGAATCTGCCACCACTGCACCGGTTGCCACTGCTCTTGCCTACTGATGCTGTTTTCTCTGTTCGTGGTGTACCCATCCAGGATGTGTTGCTGCACAAACTTCTGCTGCAGGCAGTTATGGGGGAGTGTTAGAATATATCTGTAACTGCCTGTAGCTGTAGTTAGTGTAGTTATTATAAACTGTTGGTGGTGCACCTTCTTTGCATGCTTTGTTTACTATTTGTACCTCGCTCAATAGTGAATTCTTCCTCTTTGGCTAAACTCTCTCGACATATGTTTCTCTCAACTCTCCTCCTACCCCAAACCCTAGTGTTCACTTAATCTACTATTCTAACACTCCGGTCCCCCCATGATCCTCTGTATCACCTCCCTGACTCCCCTTCGATTCACCCTTGGCGCATGAAACCTCCAGATCCCCGGTCCGCTTGTGTGCGACGATCTGAACGCGAGGCTGATTCGGATGGCGAAACGATGATCCGACAGCTTCTTCGGCACCCAGACCTGATCGGCCTCCGTGAGCTATCCCAGCAACGAGGCAGACACCAGGGCTCTGTCAATCCTAGACCTGGTGTCGGACGGCCTCGCACGGAACGTGTACTGCCTCTCTCCTGGGTTAAGCGCACGAAACGCGTCCTTGAGATCAAAAGCCGACCAGGCCTCGAGCAGCCGCTGATTCTCTTTGCTGGACCCTGTGCGGGACGACCTGTCCAGCTCCGGGTCCCCGATTATGTTGAGATCACCTGCGAAAACCAGGTGCATCCCCGCTGGCTGGGCGCGAATGAAGGGGACCAAGTGCTCTTCATGGAACTTCGACCGACTGCCTGGTTGTGCCGGGAGATACGCCGCTATCAGCCTTATGGCGGTGTCCCCCCCCTCCACAATCACTCCTAGCAACCTGCCTGTGTGGTGAGCCGAAACCTCTGTGAAACGTAAGTGCTTCTTGAACGCCATTATTGCTACCCCTCCTGCTCCTTTCTCTGTGCCAGCTACAGCCCTAGCCGTTGGTTTGAGCTCATTCCAGAAATTGTGGTCTTCCTTTATTCTCGTATCCGAGAGCACAACCACGTCCGCAGCTCTCTTCAGCCAGGATCTGTGAGTGATTCGTTTGCCGTTGCCGCCGAGGCCATTAACATTGACCCCGCATATGGTGAGTTGAGATTTCTTATCCATTAATCAACCTTGGCACGAGCCCCTCGCATCTACGGGCCTTATTGTACTGCGACTGAACTAGGGACAACACTTCCGACTCATGACATTTCCATCTTCCCACCTCCATGTCTACTTCCACATTACTGTTACCACGCGCAGGACTCGCATCAGAACCTCGCCCTTGCGTCTGGGAGATTACATCCCGAACTCCTTCCTGACCGCCAGCAGATTCAGCTTCCCCTTGCTCCGACGGGTCGCTGACCCTGCCTTGAGGCGCTCGGTACAGTGGCGGTCCGATGCCGCGTGCACTGCAGGCTGCGCGAAACTGACGCCATGTGCCTTCTCGCAGCCCTCCTGGACGCACAACCACTCCTCCCGAACCCCGCTGGTGGAGGTAAGCACCATCGCCGGGTCTTCCATGATGGCCTTTGTAGCTGAGGTCAGCTTCAGTGAGGCCGCTGCTCAGAGGGGAGATGGCACAGAGGTGAGCCGCTGCACCAGCGTCGTCGACTGCTACATCGTCCTGAAAAACACAGCTCGGGAGGATGTTATTACCATTCATCTCGTGCACCCGCTCCAGCGGTAAGTTCCACCTGGTGAAATTGTCATGCCTCTCCGTCACATAGTCATCATGAAAACAGGACATGTGCATGCCGTTGCAAAACGAGCAGGTGAGAGCGGGGAAAGAGACCAGCAAATATGTGCCGTGGATCTTGTCCGACACCTTGTGCCACCACTTATACTTATCCCCGGGGTGGCGAAAGACCAGCCCCTTGATCTTGTCCGTGTCTGACCCTGTCACCGGATCCACCACCCTGTGAAAAGCCACTCCCTCCAGGAACGCCGTACGCTTGCGCTTCAACAGAGTCGCTGTCACAAGGCTCTTTCGGACCATCTCCGGCGAGATGACCGCGGGGACACCTTTCAACAGCACCTCGATCGCCTCTTGCCTCGCCGAACGCTCCCTCAGGTACTCTTGATTCTCCGGATGCTGCCACCCCAGCGTCAATCGGAGCTTGGTCACCGTCTCATGTTCCACTTTCCTGCTCCACATGAAATTCGCATCCGCAGCATGCGCGAAAACAACTTGGAGACGGCCGAAATGCTGCTTGGAGAGCCACGTCGGCGACAGCTTGTGAAACTTAGTCGTCGTCTTGGCAACCGCCGTCATGTGACCCTCCCACAGCCTGAGCAGCTCTTGGACCGTGCCAATCGTACGCGGGACTTCCTCCACCCATTTGAAAGGGATAAGGAGCGCAATAGCGAAGCCCGCCTGCGTCGCGATATCATTAATCACCTCCGGGTCCTGGCACTCGCTAGGGCCGTCGCTGAGGTAACCGTCTTCCTCCTCTGTCTCTTTAGCCGCTTCCTTCCCGTTCTGCTGAACCCCGGACGTTGAAGGCTGGTGCTTCCCTGAAACCTCCGCTGACGCCTTTAGCTTTTCCCTTTCGTCCTTTTGCAAATCATCGATTCGAAGCGCAGACGTCTTCGCCGACAACTCAGCAATGTCCTCCACACCGAAAGGGCCTTGGACCCCGTTGAAGAGCGTCCTTGGCGTAACAGGCTCCGAAACCTTCTTATTCAGGGCCCCACCAGCAGCAGCAGCAGCTCCAGCAGACCCATTTACTTCAGGAGGAGCCATCGTGCTGTGATGATGAAAACGAAACAGCCTCTTGATGGCTGACAAGTTGCAGAAGCTGAGCACAGGACACTCCCTTGCTGACTGATGACAATGTTTCCTTTTGCTGGGAAAGATATAGTCCTGAAACACCCTTCGCAGCGCTTTGAGAACACCATTGCGCCAGGCTGGTTCCTTGAGAGAATCACAAACCCCGGTATTCTCCCTTGTTCTTGAGCTTTCCGAGTTAGCTTGCGCCTTGATACTGCCTGACAATAATCCTTTGTTAAAAATAAGCGTTGTATAAACACATCGCCATAGCGACAGGATAGTGCCGACCCGCCAGACTGGCTCAGTGAAGATATCTGCAACCTTGGTAGCTTCCCTTGTCCTTGGGTTTTCAGCGTTAGCATGAGCCTTGATACTGCCTGACAAAGAACCATTGATAAAAATGTTCGCTGTATGAACACAAAAGTTATATCGTTGGATTCCTATCGTCAGTCCGAGTACAGATCCGGGCTTTAAACTGCTAACTGATACGAAATCGATGGACATTGGGAGCATAAAAGTCCCTGGACCAGGCCATGGCGGTCTCAAGGTCAACATTGTCAACGTTGTCATTTCCGAGCCACGTCGCGCAGTCCTGAGCGGGAGAATTGAGAGGTGTGGGGAGGCTGGGTGGGTCGGGTTCGGGAGGCTTAGTGTTCGCCTTGGGGGGACGAGCCTTAGTGCTGCTCCTGCTGTGGTCCGAAGCCACTCTCCTCTAGTTCCCAAAGCTGTTTTGGTTACCGAAGCGAGACAAACTTCGTTTGGGAAATAAACCAGAGCAGGTTTGGCGGGAAGGCTGGTGCGGAAAAAGAATGGTTGGCGAAGGAAAGGGAAGGCAAACAACTCAGGCAAACCCCAGGAGTGTTTTCCTGTGCAGGACGCTTCCTCCCGCTCCTTCCTGGGAGGAACAAATGCCCAGCAGGAACTGTGATCATGTCCGAGTGAGCGTCACACGCGGTGGCCTTGTGAGCGTCTTGTGTGTGGCGCGCTGAATGCGGAACTAAATTGCGAGCTTGTATAGCCAAGCTATGTGCAGACTCGAAATAGCAGCTGCTGAAAGCGCAGGTTTAGCTGAGTGAACATTTTTCCAGGTGCGACGCATGCATTCTGAGCGACCCAGCGTTGTTCCACGTGAGTCCGCAGTTTTACATTTGCAGCAATCGCTCCTAGGTTGTCATACATCCCAAAAAATTCCCCCGCGAATTTCAACCCCAAGGTCACATCAGTGTTACCCCGAACAGTGATACCCCATTGTCGCCAACAGTGATACCCCTATGTTACCCCCGATCGAACTTCAGTTCGATGTCACACTGAGGTGACCCCGAGAGGTGATCCTGATGTTACCCACAAGAGGACCCCCCGAGTATTTTGGGCCCAATCCTGTGAGTTGAACACACATAAACACTTTTGATGCCCTTTCCCTAACAACTCACATTTCAAATTAACATTGTTTACGCAAATGTGGTACTGTGGACTCCGATAAACGATAAGCCGAGAACGCTGCATGGTAATAACTTCATTATTGTAAATGGTAAGTAAGATTCAATTTGTGATACTACTCCTGTAAAGGTATTGTATCGATTGTGATAATATACGTCTGGACATCTGTAACATTAAAAACGGGCCTATTCGGTTACAGAATAAAAAGAGAATGCTTGGTGGGGACCTCTCACCATTGTCACTCTGTCCACTGTCAACCACGATAAACTGCATATGGCGCTTTTTTAGCCAGAAGATATTACCGTAGAGACTAAAATCGGCCAAATAATATGTATTTATTCAAGCATGGGTTCTTTGACCTTGGAAACCTACTTACAAGCGTACCGCAGTGAGGACAAAAATGGCAGGCGTAAACGAATCGCGTGGGATTGGGTCACAGCTCGTACATGTTGCCAACAGTACACAAGATGGGTGACACATAATGGGTTGGATCGTGCGCGGACGAGTCAGCAGCAACAAGGGATGGGAAGGTGACCCTTTCGACCGCCCAACCTGCACACAACCGCACACGTGCGCAGGTTAACAAAGAGGTAACACGACACATACTATGGGATGGGGGGGCACAACCACATTTACCTCGCGAAGACCCAATAACTGGCACATCATCGTTGACCCGGAATACATGTCAGCGGTGAACTGCCTCGGAAAATCAAGGCATTTGGTCTGTGAAGCAGCAATCACCGTATTAACGTCCTGAGAGGCAAGCAGTGTGGAGCAGTAGGAGAAGGGGGGAGCAGGGGGAATCAGGGAGAGAAGGGTGAAGCAGGGGGGAGCAGGGGGGGAAAGGGGAAGCAAGGGAACGCAGGGTGAGAAGGGGGAAGAGGCGGTGATCAGGCGAAAGAAAGTGGTGAGATTACAAAGATGAGAATAAGAGCTGAAGCACACAGAAATCGAGAATGGAGAAAGGAGGAGAGGAAAGCCGGAGTAAGCAGGTGGGATTTCACGAGTTGTCGCATTACCTGGGCAACGGAGAAGGAAGAATGTGGAAGCAGTACGACACAGGTGACCGCACGGAGACACAGATGAGAGGGAGGAAAAGGAGACACCAGGAAAAGGTAGGAAAATGCTGGTGAACGCGGGAGAACTAAGGCGGACGCAATTGAACGGAGACCGAAGTAATGTGGGGATTAACGTGAAAACAAGGCACACTTTCAGTAAAATCACAAGTAACATTTACTGTTAGACCTTCTTTTGCACAAAAATACCACACCGCGTGGGCTATACACACAGAGCATAACGGCTCCGAAAAGCAGACTACAAATAACGGACATGCGTCACGCCTGATGCTTACCTGAGTCTAAGCACTCAGATGCTTTTAGCGCGAGGAACACCCATGGCGCAATCCCCGGAACATCTACTCGTGAACGTTCGACCTCTGACACAGGCGTAAACGTCCACATGGCGGTGCGAAGACGAGACGGGAGGACTCGTACTATCAGCGTTCTCTGTCGAGGACGAAGTTGACACTTCCTGCGGGAGGGTACGTCGGGAGCATGTATAAAAAACAGTTTGCGAAACATGGAATCGAACATGCAGACAAGCAAACACATGCAGGGCGAGCCTGGAATATTCATAGCAACAGTTTACTTGCCTCGCGTATGATGCACTCCCCATAAGCGTGACTAACTTCGTCGTGTCCAGGCCTCGCACGCTACGACCTTCAACTTCACAGAATAGGAAAAGCGTAAAACCCGCAAGCACCGCACAGCATCAACGGAACTCTGTGCTAAGTATGTAAATGCGCGCGCGTTTCCAAACAGAAACAACGCCGAACTACAGCTACTTCGATACGCATAGCGAAAGCGCAACTACTGTCGAAGCTCCGTACCTGTGCCGCCCATCTGAGATTTCAGATCTCTCCCGGGTGTTGAGGCGGTTGCAATGCGAGTTATCCCATCGCGCACATCCAGGCGAGGACACCGAGGGGTAGTGCAAGGTAGCAGTAACCTGCTTCTAGAGAGTCGAGCTGAGAAGTTAAAGCTGCGGTCTACATACCAAAGGGTATTTTCTGGGGGTATTTCGGGTGCACACCCTAAGACGCAGTCTGATTTGCACACGAAATGATCCCTTTCCAGAAATGAGAGCGCGAAGGATTCAAGCACAACTTGCGAATCCCGCCAGTTTCGTGCAAGGTTTGGTTGGGGGGGTACTTTTTTCGTGAGGTTGGGGTTGTGGTGGCGATTTCGCCACAACCCTCAACCAATCGAGGTTGGGGGGTAGATTGGCGCAAAATTTGTAAGCCAATCTTGAGCAGGCCAACTTTCAGAGGGGGGGTTGGGTTGTCAGAAAGCAGTAACTGCACCTTGCCACCCAAGGATGGAGCGAAGCCCTGTGCTACCTGGTTTTCAAGTGATAAACCAGGTCCTCCCGCAGGAGGTATGTAGGCGACAGCTTTAAGAGTCTGGCGGTTTACGAATGACTGTTGCAGAGCGTGGTCACTACGTATATGCCTGGGGATTGAAGTCGTCTCACAAACGCTGCCAGGAGAAGCCACACGATTGGTCAGCGGAAAACACCGACCGTATTCACGGTAGCCATCACTGTACATGCGGTGGCGATATATACATATCGCCCTAGTGATTAAGAACCCGGGACCCTGTATGTTGGTTGGCATATAAAACTTCTAAGCCTGTCATATAATGTGCAACAAAATCGATCGGTTTTGGAAGCTATGGAATGAGGTGCACAGGCTCAAATACCCAGTAACAAAAGTATGATCGACTACATCAATCGTCAGCACAGGACACAAACAAAACCTCCAAAAGCATGGAAAGGTAACCGCGATAGAATAAGGCGCCAAAATGACGAGAGATTCAATGGGGCAGCCAAGCATCGAGAGGTCACTGACTGCTGCGCATTTCACCAAGAGATACGTAACAGAGTCTTTCTGAGATTGCAACGTTGCCAATGACCGAAGCCAGGAAAACCCGAGGCTGATGGCAGGATACACGTGTTCATCCAAACAGAAAGCCATCCCCCCATGCGACCTGGACAGGTCCAGCCGGTGTGACCGGGGCAGGCCCTGCCTGTGCGGCCGGTGCAGGCCCGGGATGTGCGGCCGGGACGGGCACAGCCTGCGCGGACGTGACGGACGCTACCTGGGCGACAGGGACAGGCACAAATGGTGCAGCCGGGACAGGCACAGGCTGCGCGGATGGGGCTGGCACAGGCTGGAAGGCCGGGAATGACACAGGCTGCACGGCTTGGGCCAGCACAGGCTGCCCGGCAGGTGCAGGGACAGGCTGCCCGGCTGGGGCAGGGACAGGCTGCCCGGCTGGGGCAGGGACAGGCTGCCCGGCTGGGGCAGGCACAGGCTGCCCGGCTGGGGCCAGCACAGGCTGCGGGGCCGGGACAGGTGCAGGCTGTGCAAAGCGGTTGATGCCCTCTGTGTCTTCAATGCCGTCGATGGAGATGTAGATTTTGCCGGTCGTTGAGGAGGCCCACGCCCTTTCACTGGCCTTGTACCAAGGGCCGCTCCCGTTGACTGAGGGGGCCATAATGGCAGCCTTGCACCATGCCGTCACATTCCGTAGATACTCGCAAACCTTCCTGCCGTTGATGCCAGGACCGTGCGACACATTGGCACCGTTGTTTTTAATACGGTGCTCGACCTGCAGGGTAATAGGGCATGCAGGACAGGAATGGATAAACATGGTAGGGAAGTGGAGAGAGGGGGGCATGAGAAGGGGAAGGGGGGTTATGGCAGGATGGACGTGTCAGAATAGGTTTTGAAAACACTTGATAAAGCACCTGCCCCACACCCTCACGGGTATGTGGAGGGACTGAATCACTGTCAGGGCTGTGAGGTTGTCAAGGAAGCTACGGTTAGAGAGCGCGTGGTGAAAAAACAGAGGGGAGAGGGTGATTCCGGGGGTTATGGCAGGATGGGTGAGTGGGCATGGATTGTGAACATCTGCAGGAATGCCTTTGCCCATCACGGAACTATTAGGTAAGCCCAATTTCCGGAATCCCCCTGCAAGGCTGAAATGTGGGCAAGGACGCTAAACTAGGGGGGATTGGGGAAAAAACGCACAGGGCGAGGGGGACGGGGGTATTTGATTGCATGGGCGTGTGAGAAGATTCCATGTAAACACCTGGGAGTGCCTTAGCCCCATTCCCTCCCAGGTAAGCTCTGGACTGAATCACCCACAGGGCGGAAACATGGGCAAAGCGGCTAACATAGGAGGGCTTGGGGGAAAGAAACATAGGGGAGAGGGGGAAGGGGGTGTAGGATTGCATGGGGGTGCGAGGATGGGTTGTGAAGACACCTGGGAGTGCCTTAGCCCCACTCCCTCCCAGGTAAGCCCTGGACTGAATCACCCACAGGGCGGAAACATGGGCAGAGCGGCTAACATAGGAGGGCTTGGGGGAAAGAAACATAGGGGAGAGGGGGAAGGGGGTGTGGGATTGCATGGGGGTGTGATGAGGGGTTGTGAAGACACCGTTGTAGTGCCTTAGCCCCACTTCCCTCCCAGGTAAGCTCTGGACTGAATCACCCACAGGGCGGAAACATGGGCAAAGCGGCTAACATAGGAGGGCTTGGGGGAAAGAAACATAGGGGAGAGGGGGAAGGGGGTGTAGGATTGCATGGGGGTGTGAGGAGGGGTTGTGAAGACACCTTTGTGGTGCCTTAGCCCCACTCCCTCCCAGGTAAGCCCTGGACTGAATTACCCACAGGGCGGAAACATGGGCAAAGCGGCTAACATAGGAGGGCTTGGGGGAAAGAAACATAGGGGAGAGGGGGAAGGGGGTGTAGGATTGCATGGGGGTGTGAGGAGGGATTGTGAAGACACCTTTGTAGTGCCTTAGCCCCACTCCCTCCCAGGTAAGCCCTGGGCTGAATCACCCACAGGGCGGAAACATGGGCAAAGTGGCAAACATAGGAGGGCTTGGGGGGAAGAAACATAGGGGAGAGGGGGAAGGGGGTGTAGGATTGCATGGGGGTGCGAGGAGGGGTTGTGAAGACACCTTTGTAGTGCCTTAGCCCCACTCCCTCCCAGGTAAGCCCTGGACTGCTTCGCCACCAAACGCGCACTGAGCATGCTCTAAGCCAACTTACCCCATGCAAGAAATATGCGACATGGTAGAGCTTGACGACGGCAGGAAGCGGTTTGTTTTTGAAAAGCGACTCGTGCAACGCATCCTCAAATGCAGGGTGCGAGAAAGGAAGGCCGCCCCGGTGGGGGAATCAAGTCTATGTGAGGTTACCGTGGCTCGTGTCATCTGCAAAAGGGATAGCAAATACGGAGCCAAGGTCAGGTAAGTTGGAACTAGAGTACTGCTCCGTCGTAGGTAATTTCAAATGCCCCACCTTCGCCGAAAGCCTCCAAAAACTTGTCGAACGTTGTGGGACTGCCCTTAATTGGTGGCTTCCGAGCACGGGAAAACAGGGGGACCACGAAGGGTAGCCCAAAGAAGATAAATACCCATGTTCGGGCCTGGTCTAGTGTATCGGCCCGAAGTTTAGCCAACTTCCTTGTCAACCACCGACGCCGCTCGGGGTCGTTCCGCAGTGCAATGTGAATGTTGGCACGCGCGACGTCTGAAGTCAGCATGGGTGATTCCATGAATGCTTGCTCCAGCACCGCTTCGAAAGGCCACATGCTCATGAGACGGGATGGCGTAAAGAAAATCACACGTGCGATCACGTCTATAACCAGTCCCTGTAAAAGGAAAGAAGGGAATAAGAGTACAGATCATAGCACAAAGAATCACAACGCAGCTAAGATCATGATCCAACACACACTTCCACAGATCTCTGGCCCATGCAAGCATGGGCTGGCCATTCGACACATCTCTGGCCCATGCATGGCATGTTCTGAAGGGAGATGAGAACAACGCGTTCGAACTGGATGAGTGAGTGTTTGGGCCATTGTTGGGAAGATATGTGCGCAGTTGTGTGTTCAAGCCCCTCGTTGACATGACCATAACCGCAGTTGTGTGAAATTTGTGTCCCCGCATTGTGTGTGCGTCTCTCAAATCCTATCCGACACCAACAGGTACTCCCCTTCCTGCTTGAGGGCAAGATCGCACCCGCACGACTTGAGGCGTTGGTGTTCTTTGCAAACTGGCATAACAACCATATTCGCGCAGAGAGCTACACAGAAGCGTCGCTACTTGAGATGGATCACGACACTGCAAGGTAAGCAAAGGGTACACCTACTAGGGGTGAGTGTGGTGCGGGCAAGGGTGCACGCAGAGTGTGTGTCAAAAACAGAGTAGAGGAGTGAGGGAGGTGCGATAGTTGCACCACACGCTGATTGATGGGCTTTTACACGGGTTTGTTTTGCAGACTGGTATCTTTGCTGAAGACCCATTTCCCGCGGGATGGTGATGGCTGGAATCTTATCAAGATTCACGGCCTAAGTCATATCCCGGAGGCCATTCGCCGTGGTGGACACCCGCGCGAGTATTCAACAGCCGCGTATGAGAACGCGCACGTTCGTGCCGTCAAGCAGCCGTTTCGGAGCTCCAACAAGCGCGACTACGAGACGGCCATCTTGCAAGGGAATGCAACACAGGAGGCAATGCTGTCGCTGCCTCCTGCAGTTCCTGAACGGCCTCGCAAGTACATGACGGCCGCCAAACGGGTACGAGGACAGAGTGGAGTGAGGACAGTGTGGAGTGAGGACAGAGTGGGGTGAGGACAGAGTGGGATGAGGTCGGAGTGGAGGGAGGGACAGAGTGGAGCGAGGACAGAGTGGGGTGAGGACAGAGTGGGGTGAGGACAGAGTGGAGTGAGGACAGAGTGGATTGAGGACAGAGTGGGGTGAGGACAGAGTGGGGTGAGGACAGAGTGGTGTGAGGACAGAGTGGGGTGAGGACATAGTGGGGTGAGGACAGAGTGGGGTGAGGGGAGAGTGGGGCGTGGACGGAGTGGGGTGAGGACAGAGTGGGGTGAGGACCTTGAGGGATGTGGACAGAGAGGTGCAGAGCGAGATTGATGTGGTCAGAGCATACACAACACATGCACAGCGCTTTTTTCCTTCACCAACTCATCTCGGATTTGGCAACTCTGATACGTACGTTGTCATATCCCCCTCCCTGTGGCATGATGGTACTATATACTATGCGCGTGATGCACGAGATCTTATGTACGGGGGTCGCGGTGTGGGCAGGCTCGTACCACTGGCAGGCAAGCATTGACCAACAGCGCGGCCACCATGCGGGTGTCAGCCCCACCACACGCACCGGAGGCCCCTCTGCTTCAACAGTACATGGATGTCACCGCAGGGAGTCTCGATGCGTACCGCAACGTCATGCAGCGGCATGGATACAACATCGCCGAGACTCAGGTATGCGGGACAGTGGTGCGAATAGGTGGGGTTGTGGACGTCGCATGGTGCGAATATCTGGGTGGCGAGAGAGTGGTGCTCGCAGATTGTGGTGCGGACAGATACCAAGGTGGACAGTGAGTATGAGAAATGTGTGCAATGCAGAGGGAGATGGGGACAGCGGGAGATGGGGACAGCGGGAAATGGGGACAGCGGGAGATGGGGACAGCGGGAAATGGGGACAGCGGGAGATGGGTAAAGGGAGAGATGGATCAGCGTGTGATGGGGATAGGGAGAGATGGGACAGAGGGGCATGGGGACAGGGAGAGATGGGACAGAGGGAGAGGGGGACAGCAGGAGATGGGACAGAGGACAGAGTGGGATGTGAGGACAGAGTGGGGTGACCAATGGGTGGGGTGTAATGACAGGATGGGGTGTGATGACAGAGTGGGTTGTGAGTACATTGTGGGGCGAGCACAGAGAGGGGAGTGATGACAGAGAGGGGTGTGATGACAGAGAGGGGTGTGATGACAAAGAGGGGTGTGATGACAGAGTGGGGTGTGATGACAGAGAGGGGTGTGATGACAAAGAGGGGTGTGATGACAGAGAGGGGTGTGATGACAGAGAGGGGTGTGATGACAGAGAGGGGTGTGATGACAGAGTGGGGTGAGTTCAGAGTGGGGTGAGTACAGAGACACGTGGGACAACAGAGAGGGGTGTGATGATAGAGTGGGGTGAGTTCAGAGTGGGGTGAGTACAGAGGCACGTGTGATGACAGAGAGGGGTGTGATGACAGAGAGGGGTGCACTGACAGAGTGGGGTGAGTACAAAGTGGGGCGATGACAGGGAGTAAGGGGCGTGGACGGAGTGGGCCGAGGACAGAGAGGCCCAGAGCGAGATTTGTGTGGTAAGTGCATACACAAGCCATACACTGCGCGGTGTCCCCTCCCCCAGCATACCACCTTTAAGCCCAACCCTCAGCTGCACACATCGCATGACTGCCCCTAATGGTGCGTGTTCTTGCAGGTCCATCGGGCGGTCGTGTTGCCAGCACGGGATGTGCGCACGGGCGAGCCCTCGGCGGTCTATGCGCGCGCAGTACCTTCGCACCACGGATCCCCCGCGTTCTCCTGTGTGGAGTATGGTGCGGTAGACACCGAGCATCTGTATGGGAAGTTGGTCCTTATCATGCGCGCGAGGAGGTCCGCGGATGGTCAGGGAGGCGTGTTACATGAGGTAGCATACATTGGAAGGAGTGTGGGGTTGATCAGTTGACGGGATGTGTGAAGTTAGAGGAGGTTAAAGGGGCCGATGCATGTGTGGTCGTGCCTATTGCTCACCTTCGTCGGGTTGTGCATGTCGTCCAGTCCTTTGATCGGCACGAAGTGTGGTTGCTGAACAAGTGGGCAGCTGGCCTGCGTCGGGGGGGTGTGTGATGACGACAGGCAGAGCCGTCGGCGACATTTATGTGTGTGTGCTGGTTTTAGGAAATTACGTTGGGGACTAATGTTGAGGGGGTCACTAGCGTGCAGACTTGTTTACAACATTTTTTACATCCCGCTAGGTGGCTAGGATAAAGTATACCTCAATCCTTTGTGTAGATCGGGGTAGGTAATCACAGGTGGTTCGATAGTCTATATGTTCAAACACATGTATTCAAACCCTAAAGTACACTAAGGGACTAAACAAAACGGTGAAACAGCAACATACAGTAACTCATTCGACTATACACAGCAAGTAAATAGACTAAAATCGGGCTCCTTTTTGTAGCCCAGCCTCGACTCCCAACCATACATGAAACCGAACCTCAGGCCGAAGCTGAAGCCAAAGCGGGGGGGTATGATGTGGGTAACAACGAACTGAGCGCATCACTGATTGGTGCGCTTCATTGTCCCGAAATGCTAGTTGCGAGAATTACCATTTCGTAAACGTCGCTCGAGCGCATAGGTAACCTGAGGGCGTCTTTACGGAAACCTGCGGGTTACCCCCCGAGGGTATCCTGGGGGTATCCCACGCTTTCCAGCGGAGCTCGGACTCTTGATTTTTGGGATGTAGTCACGAACAACACACCTAACTGATTATAATTGATTATAAAAAAACCTTCGACACCAGTGGTTACTCGCTGAAGCCGTTGCATTTTATATCATACTCGTGTGGTCCAATCCATTTAGGCCTCAGCTTCACATCAGCTGCCAGTTGGTGCACATGGCTGTTCTCATGGACTCTAGTAGTAGAACCCACATTAACGATCTCCTAGACGACGTTCTCATCAGGATCTTGTGGCCTTCCAAGCAGTCAGTCATTTCTTGCACATCGGACAGCGATGCTCTGTGCAACTTTGTCACGCCAAGGTCTAATCATCTCTACAGGGATGCTACTCTGGACACTGCGATGCCGACCCTTCCTGCCTCTGCAGATGCCGCTCACAATCTCTTCATCGCGTCCATCTGCCGTCGCTGGCGGCGTCTCGCTCAGAGGCATGTTTCGACGCTTCTCACCGCGCAGTTTCTCGTCAGGATGTCCTCACCGCCGTCGCTTGCTTCCCGAATTTATCCCACCTGCATCTGTCCGACGGAAGTGTTGAAACGCTGGACAACTCATTTCTAGCTGACCTCGCCTCCTCATATCCTGGGTTGAGAGCGCTGCACGTGGGCAAGTTGATGATGGCAGCGGACGACGGACAGCACGGAAGGAGGGACCGCTTTATAACCGAATCTGGTTTGGACTATTTCTTCCGTCGCTGCCCTCAGCTAGAGCAGCTGTCGCTGTACTGTCTTGAGGGAGATCAGAACCCACCAGCTTCAATTTTTCAGCTTCAACATTTGAGCATCCTCGTCTTGACCAATACTTGGATCTTAAAGTCTCCAAACCTCAGCCGCCTTTCGTCCCTCACTGCACTCTCCATTGAAGCCTCCTCTCTTCACTACGACCAGCTTTCCAGCCTCCTTCAACTCACCAACCTCATCCGCCTCTCCTTGCCGGATGACATTCGCGTCGTTTCACCGGATCCTCCTGCCTTCTCGCTCGCCCAGCTACCCTCTCTCGGGTCTCTCAAGTTTGGACTGCACGGTGCTCAGTTCAGTGTTTTTCCCCCTCTTGGATCGCCATACAGCTTCCTGAAACGCCTGCAGCTTAACGAGTGCTTCAGCCAAGAGCGGATTCCAGACAGTGTAGGAGAGGTGCTGCCACGCCTCCAAGAGCTCAGCATCAGCGGCCAAAGCTTCAGGGACTTGACTGATCATTTCACCTCCCTCACCTGCTTGGAGAGCTTGACCATTTCCTCAGGCCTCGTACTCACTCTACCTGAAAACTTTGGGAATCTTCCAGCTTTGAAGGCGCTGTTGCTGCAGGAGCAACCGCTTTGCCATCTCCCGGCTTCCTTCACTAGACTCGCATCGCTGGAGTCGTTTTGCTTGCGTGACTGCATGGGGGTGGAGAAGCTACCTGCAGGGTTTGGCAACCTCACTGCACTGCAGACTCTCAGCCTTGCGTGGCTGATGAAACTGGACCTTCGAGAAGACTTGGGGGGGCTGACCAATCTTCAAATCTTCCATCTCATTAAAAACAGGGAAGAGCAGCTGCCATCGTCATTCACGCAACTGGCTTCGCTGACCAGGTTGGAGCTAGATCGGTGCGCGATTGCCGAGCTTCCTGCGGGGATGGCAGAGATGACAAACCTGCAGGAGCTCCACATTCTGAAGTGTCCGGCCTTCAAGGAGCTTCCGGAATGTGTGACGGCGCTCACCAGCCTTCAATTGCTGAGGATTCAAGAGTGTCGCCGTCTCTCATCGGTTCCCAGGAGGCTGGACAGCCTTACTAGGCTGAAGCAGTTGGAGCTGAGGGGATGTTGGCTGCTGAGAGAAGCCCCTCAAGCTCTGCCTCTCACTCTCTAGGCGCTATCCTACTTGGAAAACAGTCAGCACGTGGTGTCTCCGACAAACATTTCAAGGCTCACTGAGCTCAGGATATTGCTCTTGGGCACCGTGCGTGCACCATTTCTTGAGGCCATGGGTGCCAGCCTCTCTAGTCTCTCTCATGTGGAGCACCTGGAAGTGGGGCTGGGAGAAGATGCAGAGGAGCTTCTGACCGTGTTGACAAGGCTTCCCCGCCTTCATACCTTGACACTCCAGGAGGCTCGCAGCTTGGACATGCTGGTGGAGTCTGGCGGCTCGGCATTGCAGGAGCTACGACAGCTGAACATCAGAACCATGTATGAAGAACTCGCAGAGCTACCTGCGGCCATCACCACTCTCCACCACCTGACATCCATTCAGATCCATGCCCGGATGTTATCTTCCCTTCCAGATATCTTGGGGGCATTCTCAAGGCTGCGCAGGCTGGAATTATCCCACTGCTCATCCCTCACGCGTCTCCCTGCTTCCCTCACGCAGCTCTCCTGCCTGCATTATCTGAACCTCAGCTACACCAGCATCTGCATGCTTCCTCCTAACTTTGCTCGGCTCAGCAGACTCAAGAAGCTCAATATCTCTAACTGCAAGCACCTCGAAGCACTACCTGACGACATATATAATCTCAGAATGCTCGAGCGTTTTTCTACTGTGGGGTGTGATATGCTCCAGCGCTGAGGCTGTCTTTTCACCACTCATACATTAGGCCCCCTAGTTATTTTCATATGTTGTAAAATTGATCTTAGTGAACTTACTTATGGGCCAGAATGCTTTCCCAGAGAAATGGTATGCATTCTTCTAGGCTGAACCGTCGGCCCAAATTGTTCATCCTTGAAAATGTTGACAAGAGGGAGATTTTCTGGTCTGGGTTTGGGCAAGGCATGACATTCTTTATGATGATTTCTCGTGGGATTATGAATTTCATTGTGAATGTCTGTATGTCTCAAGCCATGATAAGTATTGTGCTAAATGTTCCATGGTGTTATGATTACCGTATGCGCCCGAATATAAGACATATATGTCTTATCTCGTACACAGGCAAAAATGCTTGGGTTGTCTTGTATTTGGGACAGTTTCGGGTGTCTTATAAGTCATAAATGGACAAAGAACCGTTTAGAAGATACCCCCTCGCTATACGATTGCCCCTAACCCCTACACTGGCTTAACTCGTACATACAAATAGGTGTCTTATTATGAGGCTACCCTGTTCATAAGAGACACCCGGATAATAGACACCCTCTGTCTCCTATTCAACATTGCCGGGTGATGACGGTAGCATGCGGAATGCCACGTATGATGATGACTTGTATGATGACTTGTATGATGAATGTCGCATGGCATGATGATTAGCTTTTTGGATGTTTCTAGGCGCGATGATGTCTCAAGGCATGATACCTTGCATGATGATGCAGATTCAGGACGTGCTCAGGCCTGATTACCTGAATGTTGAGGTGAATTTCTAGAGCATGACTACCTTGCCATGACAAAATGAAGGCCAAATGTCATATGGCATGATAGTTAGCACTTTGAATGTGTATAAGCCAGATCAGCTGTATGCTGAATATCTCATGGCTTTATGACTTGCATGTTGAATGATTTGCAATGAGAAATTATTTGCATACTCAAATTTTCATGGCTAAAAGCATGTTGTATTGCATGATGTATGCCTCATAGTACATAGATTTGATTGCTGAATGTGCGATGGCATGGAATATTGCATGGTGAATGTCATGATGAAATGCTGACAGATTGATGAAATGCATGATAATATGCATGCTGAATCTCGCATTAGACTATGAATCGCACGACAAACATTCTGAAGCTCTTGGCCTGAAAAGTTCAACCTTACTAAGTTGAGAGCTGGGCAGTTGGGGAGGTGAACACGAGTCGAGCAGCGCTTTGGTAGCGACAATTGTTCTATCTTCACCCAACACAAGGGGGCATGAGAGGAGCGTGGGAATGAAAGGAGTGGGGTATGAGAGGATTTGGGGGTGTGAGAGTAATGGGGGGATATGAGAATAGTGAGGTATGAGAGGCCTGGGAGGTATGAGAGGCTGGCATGATTCAGCCTTGCATGATTCAGCGAGGCATGATTCATCCACTCATGATTTAGCAAGGAATGATCCAATATGGCATGATTAATCTAGGCATGATGCAGCCAGGCATGATTCAGCCAGGTAGGATTCAGCCAGGCATGATTCATCCAGGCATAATTAAGCCTGGCATGATTCATCTAGGCATGATTGAGCCTGGCATGATTCAGCCTGGAATGATTTAGCATGGCATGATAAAGCCGGGCACGATTCAGCCTGGCCTGATTCAGCCTGGCGTGATTCAGCCTAGCATAATCCAGCCCGGCATGATTCAGCCAGGCATTATTCAGCCTGGCATGATTCAGCCAGGCATGGTTCAGTCAGGCATGCTTTATCCAGGAATCATTCAGCCTGGGATGATTCAGTCTGGCATGATTCAGCCTTGCATAATTCATCCAGGCATGATTCAGCCTGGCACGATTCAGCCTGGAATGATTCAGCCTTGCATGATTCATCCTCGCATGATTTAGCTTGGCATGATCTAGCCTAGTATGCTCCAGCCTGGCATGATTCAGCCAGGCATGATTCAGCCTGGCATGATTCAACCAGACATGATTCAGCCATAAATGATTCAGACATGCATGGTTAAGCCTGGCATGATTCAGCATGGTATGATTCAGCCTGGCATGATTCAGCCTGGCATGATTCAGCCTTGCATGATTTAACCTGGCATGATTCAGCCTAGCATGATTCAGCCATGAATGATTCAGCCTGGCATGGTTTAGCCTGGCATGATTAATCCTGGCATGATTCAGCCTGGCATGATTCAGCCTGGCATGATTACGCCTGGCATGATCCAGCCTGGCATGTTTCAGCCAGGCATGATTCATCCAGGCATGTTTCAGCCTGGAATTACTCATCGAGGCATGATTCAGACTGGCATGATTCAGCCAGGCTTGATTTAGCCATTCAACCAGGCATGATTCACCCAGGAATGATTCAGCTTGGTATGATTCAGCGAGGGAGGATCCAGCCAGGCATGATTCAGCCTGGCATGATTCAGCCTAGCATGATCCAGCCTGGCAGGATTCAGCCGGGCATGATTCAGCGTGGCATGATTCATCCAGACATGATTCAGCCAGGCACGATTCAACATGGCATAATTCATCCAGGCGTGATTCAGCCTTGCATGATTCAGCCAGGAAGGATTCAACCAGGCATGATTCATCCAGGCATGATTCAGCCAATTTCCCAAGAATGATTCAGCCTGGCATGATTCAGATTGGAATGATTTAGCCTGTCATAATTCATCCAGGCATGATTCAGCCATTCATCCAGGCATGATTCAGCCATTCATCCAGGCATGATTCAGCCATTCATCCAGGCATGATTCAGCCATTCATCAAGGCATGATTCAGCCTGGCATGATTCAGACTGGGAGGATCCAGCCAGGCATGATTCAGCCTGGCATGATTCAGACAGGCATGATTCACCCTATGATGCTTCAGTCTGGCATGATTCAGCCTAGCACGATTCAGCCTGGCATGAATCATCCAGGGAAGATTCAACCATTCAGCCAGGCATGATTCAGCCAGGCATGATTCAGCTAGGCATGATTCAGCCAGGCATGATTCAGCCTGGCATGATTCAGCCAGGCATGATTCAGCCTGGCATGATTCATCCAGGCATGGTTCAGCCAGGCGTGTTTTATCCTGGCATGATTTAGCATGGAATGATTCAACCAGGCATGATTCAACCAAGCATGATTCAGCCAGGCATGATTCAGCCAGGCATGATTCAGCCTGGTATGATTCAGGCGGGCATGAATCAGCCTGGCATGATCCAGCCAGGCATGATTCAGCTACGTTTTCTTAATGTACACGGTTGCATGCAAGACAGTTTAATGACATGACCAGAGTTTATGCTGAAAGTCTCATAGCATGCTGACTGCGTGATGGCATGCTAGTATGTAATTTGATTAGCTCATGGTGTGATGAATTTTTTGCAGGATGTTGGATTAACATAAAATGGCGTTTGTGCATTGTCATATCTCATGTACCGTATTTCGAATTCCGTCTAGTATCTTGATCAGGCCTAATTTTATCAGTGTAAATCGCCTTGATACCCTGATTATCAGGGTGATTTTTGATAGTAACACTGATGGCCTAAGGTAAATTTCCTAGGAGCTAGGATTTTCCTGATCAGCCAGTGTTCACATTTAAGGCACACTGATGCCTCAGGGTTACCGTTCTTCATAAGGAGTTTTACCCTGAAACGAGTACCATACCCCCTCCCCCCCCCCCCCCCCCCCTTCTCCCCCTCCCCCACCCCTCCTTTCCCATGACCCGGGATTCTCGATTGCCAACTGTCGAAACCGGAATTTCAGCCTCGACAATACATGTGCTGGCATGAAGCGGGCCACCATTGGCCAGAAATACAGTTACGTTGTTGACAATGCCACTGACTCAACTCGGTCTGTTTCTCTGACATGACAACATGACCAGGTTAGCAGGAAACCTGGCTGAGTGCAGCCGAAAGTCGGTGTCCACCAGCACACTGGGCACCGCGTTCCCGTATGGCCTGTGGGTGGCTGTGAACTTCCCTTGCCAGCACGATAGGAAACATATGCGTTGGGGACTGGGGTCTCACCTTTCTGGACGAGAATCCTCTCCCCCATTTGGGAGTTCCAACACAGGTAGCCGTTTCTCTTGATACACACCACCAGCCATGGCGCAATGTCAGGACGACGATGTAGGAGAAGCTGCTGACGAGCCACCAAACGACGCTGCCGCACGAACAGGCTTAGATTTCATGGGAGGGCTTCATGTGAACCCTCCGCCGGCCTGCACTGCCGGCCCGTCATCGTGCACCGGCAAGAAGATGCCTCCTGCTCGCCCTACTGGTTCCAATGCCGTCGCGCCGGACAGTGCTCCTGCCACTGTCAGCGTGACA